ATCCTGGAGTGGTTTGCCATTTTCTTCTCCAGATCATTTTATAGATGAGGAAACTGAGGCAAACAAGGTTATGTGACTTGCCCACTGTCATGCAGCTAAGTGTGTGAGGTCAGACTTGAACTCAGGTCTTCCTGATTCCAGGCCTGGAGCACTATCCACTGTGCCAGCTAGCTGCCCAGTTACTATGCTACCAAAATGAAAATAAAAAGGTAGTAAAGCAGAAAAAGAGTCATTAAAGCATTTTGAAAATTCACAGGAGAGAACAGAAGGAAGATTGCACAGACAAGGAGGACATTTTTAAAAATATGTTGAATTTGTTATATGCTTATACCCATTAGATTGTAAGCTCCTTGAGGGCAAGGAATGGCTTTTGCCCCTTTTCGTATCCTAATGATTAGTACAGTTCTTGAGGCTTAGTAGGTGCTTAATAAATGTTTATTGGTGTATTGATACTGGAGGAAAGAAGCAAACAAGGAATATATGGTAAAGATTTGCAGTCTTTTTCTTTTCTATTTTATGTATGGAGATACTCATCTTACTTATTGTTTATTGTGTTTAGTATGAAAAAACCCCAAAATGTATACAAAATAAAAGTGAAGTAGCATTAGGTTAGAGGCATTAGCAGTTTTAGGCTGAGCTTTGAAAAAAAATTAGTGATTCCAAGAAGCAGAGGAGATGAAGGAGTATATTCCAGGCACAGGGGATAGCTATGCGAAGGCAAAGAGATGGAAAATAGAGTGTTATATCTGAACAATAGCAAGAATGCCTCTTTGACTGAATCTAATAATGCATGAGGAGTAACATATAATAAGGTTTTTTTTTCTTTTTTTGGCTAGGCAATGGGGTTAAGTGACTTGCCCAGGGAGACCCAGTTAGTGAGTGTTACGTGTGAGGCCAGATTTGAACTCAGGTCCTCCTGAATCCAGGGCTGGTGCTCTATTCACTGCACCACCTAGCTGCCCCATATAGTAAGGTTTTAAAGGTAGATTTGAGCCAAGCTGTGCCAAGCAGGGGAATTTATATGTGAACCTAGAGATAATAGGCAACCACTGGAGTATATTGAGTAAAGATTCAATAAGTTTTAGGAATATCACTTTAGCAGCTGTCTGGAGGATTAGCAAAGGGAGAGACTGAGGGAAGGGGGCTAATTGGGAGGTTATTTATTTATTTGATTGATTGGTGAGGCAGTTGGAGTTAAGTGACTTGTCCAGGGTCACACAGCTAGTATCAAGTGTCTGAGGCTGGATTTGAACTCAGGTCCTCCTAACTCCAGGGCCAGTGCTCTATCCAGTGAGCCACCTAGCTGCCCCTGGGAGGTTATTTAAAAAAAATTCTAGCAGTAGTCTCTGTATTTCTCAACCAGATTTTATTTCAATCTCTGATATTCATGTAAAATATTCATACCAAAATATCCAACACACTAAGCAAAATGGGTATTTCCACATACATAGTAGAACAGAAAAAGAAGATTGTGCATGAAATTGCAAATCTTTATTATGTACAATTTGTTTTTCTTTAAAAAAATACACATATATAAAATTCAGAATGTAACTTTTAATGCTCTTTAGTTTGTTATCTTTCTGATCTTTTTATTTTCTTCTGTGTATTTAAAAATGCTTTAATGACTCCCTTTTCTTTCAAGTTTCATGTTTTGTTTTTTGTTTTTTTTGCCACATATTCCTAGCTTTCCATTTCTCTCTCTTCCTCCTTAATTTGGGAAAAAGGGAAAAAAAAAAGAAAAACAAAACCCTTATAACAAATATGCGGAGTCAAGGATAACAAATTCAATTGTGAGGCTTTTGCTATAATCCAGGGAATTGGTATTGAGAGCCTGAATTGGAATGGTGACTGGAGAGAATGAAGGGTTTGAGAGATGAGATGGTAGAGTGAGCAAGATTTGGCATTGATTGGAAGTAGGAATGAGGGAGAATGAGGAGTCAAGAATGACTCTGAGGTTGCAAACCGGGGTGACTGGAAGGAAGATAGTGGTCTTTACAGAAATAAGAAGTACCCTTTAACAAAGAAATGCATTTTAACAAAACCAGCCAACACATGTACCATGTCTGAAGATATATGCCCTTGTAGTCCATCACCTCTTTGCTGAGAGATGAATGGCATGTTTGACTACTCTGTAGTCATATAATTAGTGACTGCACTTACCAGAATCTGAAATCATTCACTTGTTTTACTTTAAATTATTTTTATTGTAATATTCATTATACTCTTCGATTTGCTCATTATTTTGTATCAGTAAATAAAATCTCCCCGAATATCTCTGAATTCTTTATAGTAATCATTTCATAGTGCACAAAAATATTTCATTATACTAATACACAACATTTTTCAACCCATTCCCCAGTGATGGGCACATGCATCTTTCTAATTCTTTGTTACTACAAAAAGTATTCCCCTGGAAATTATTTTCTATATTCTCTCATATATACATATATTTTGTATTTGCTTATCTATTAACATACTGTTTTCTTCACATTGAAATAGAAATTATTCGAGGTTAAGGATTTTTCATTTGTGTTTTTATGGCTCTAATGCCAAATGGTATATGGAACATAATAAGTGCCTAATAAATGCTTATTGAATTAAACAAATTTGAATATATTTGCATCTTTGGACATTTCTCCCTGTCTTTGACTTCCTTGGAGTATATGTCTATTAGTGATATCACTGGGTCAAAGATTATGTCCAATTTACTGACTTTTGTAATGTCATTCTGTATTGTTTTCTAAAATGGATAGACTAACAGCTTCACCTACAGTGCCTTGGTGTGCTTTTCTTCCTATAGCTCCTCCAACATTGACCATTTTCATCATTTATCATTTTTGCCAATTAAATGAGAGTGAGGTAAAATCGCAGAATTTTAATTTCTATGTCTCTAATCATTAGTGATTTGGGGCATTCTTTCATATAGTTGTTGATAGTTTTCATTTCTTCTTTTGAGAACATATTTTTCAGCCATTTATCTCTTGAGAAATGTCTTTTGTGCTTATGTCTTTATATCAATTCCATATGTATCTTGGATAGCAGACCTTTATCAGATATTTGCTGTGTAATTTCTCCTCTAATTCATAGCTTCTCTCATTCTAATTATATTGACTTTGTGCGAAAGTTTTTTGATTTCATATAACTGAAGTTGTCTTTTTGTCTTTTATGATCATCTCTATTCCTTGTTTAGTTAAGGATTTTACCCATAGTCATATTTCCCAATGGAGTTCTTTTCATTCTCTTATAATTTATTTCAGGTGTATATCCGTTTGGTGCTTACTGTGCCATTTATCTTCTATTCCCATTTCATCTCCTAAAGCTCAGGAATGTTGTCTCTATTTTTAGATACCTTTGCTCTATCCTTTTGCTTTTGTTTTTGTTGTTCAGTCATTTCAGTTGTATCCAACCCTTTGTAACCCCAGCTTTTATTAAACTACTTTAAAAACATGTCTAAAAGAGCTTTGTTGTCTTATCACACTTTTCCAATAGAGGAAGGTGGTCTTCTAAAATATATTACTCGAGTATTTCTTTAAATCCATATCACTAATGAGTTGACCTGCCATTGATTGGTTCATATTACAATCCATCCATGCCTCATCATCCTGGGTAATTTTTATCTATGCCCTTCCATAAATTCTTTGTGGAAGATTCAGATGTTTAGTGTACTGTTGGTTGTTTATTATTTTGTGGATACCAATACAACTTTTGGTATTTCCAGGTTTCATGATTGACCCATCTTCTTTTCTGGACAGTATATACTTAATCTCTTTTACACCATTTGTGAGCAAGTCATTGATGTTAATATAGTGAAGCCTACTTATATCCACCATGTCCAACTTTCCATTGCGTTTGGGTCACCCACAATTTTAATTCTTCAGAAATGATGGTGTTCTTTGACTTGTATCCATATAATATCACCAGGACCATATTATGTTAAGGAGTAGGTTGAGATCATGGAGTGTTTTGTAATTTCTCAAATATAATTCATCCTGTTGTTTTCCTCCTATTCAACTTTGCGCTTAGTTCATTCTTTGACCATCTGCATAGTCTATTTGAGATTTATCTACTAATGGACTAATTCAGCAGGCCACCTATCCAGCATTATGTTATAATCTGGGCAATACCGAACCAGAACATTATACTAGTTTGAAGCCTTGATTTATACAAAATGAATTGATAGGCTATTTTGTCAGTTCTATACATTGGAAATTTAAAATACCAAATTTATTTAAAACTTTTTTTGTGAACCTGTATTTGTTGAAGATAAGAAACTACACTTTTCAATGATCATCAGTTGACTCTCTAGTTAGGGTAGAAGACGTCAGTACCATATAATATCACATCCCCCCTTTTTTTGTTCTCTATTACAAAGTTATTTTTTTTTTTTTACATTGGTGAAATTTTAATTTTCCTTAGTACAAAATCCAAGGTTTTCTGGTCTTTAAAAACTTTTCTTGAATTCAAGATAAAAGAGAAGATGTAGACAAAAGGAAGAATATGCCAGTCTTCAGAGAATTATGATGCAGAATTTCTCCTTTTCTATACTAAATAAGCAAAGATTAGTATTAGGATCTGAGAGTTATTCAAAATATACAATTTAAAATGCTTTGACTATGCACACTTATTTATTGAGGCAGTTCCTTGAATATAAAGTAATCCCAAGTTGTTGATGGATTGTTTCTACATAAAAAGATGCTATTTCCAAAATATTTTAAGAAGTTAAGCCCAATGGAATCTGCAAGTGACATGCTTGCGTTTTGCCTGAACTATTGAAAACTGCATTGGATGAATTGGAAGTTGCAGAATAAGTATTGAAAAAATCATTAAAATAATGACTCCCCATTCTGAATTAGTCTAGACAAAGAAATGCCTACTGACATAATGGTAGAAACCCATTTCCACTGCTAAGTCTGATAGCTGTTGACAAGAAAATATGTTGTTATATTTACAGTGAAGTAATAACTCCATTTTCTGAACAGTTATTTGTTTCCCTATTTTAGGCAACTTAATGAGACCCCTCTTGAATTATGGCATCTCTTGGTAAGTACATTCTCCCTCCCTACCTTAAGCTACTTTCTATTTTGTTTTTCTCTCTTATCTGTGAAAATTCTATTTTTGTTTTCTTACTGTAGTATGTCTATGGGCTTCCTGGTGGAAGAGACAGCACCGGTTGTTTGGAGAGGGCTTATGGTGATGTCAGCCATAGAGAAACTGATTAGGCAGGTAAGAAATTCACATTCAACTGACATCCTGTTAGTGTAGTCAATTTGCTTGCTAATTGGAGTAGTCCTAGAATTTGAATTCAAATCTGAGATTTTTTTTTTAAAAGGAATCCACTGGATAGACTGAGTGAATTAGGTGGCGCCAGGACAAAATTTCATTTTTACATGATTTAATCTTTTCCATTAGCTATAAGTACAAAAGTCATAATTTTTTTTCACTTCATGCAGTATTGTGGAAATGTGGTGGAGTCTCTAGGCATAAGAGAAAATCTGTTTAATTCAGTAACTCAGTAATTTGCCTTCCTGTGAGTTACTGCTAATCACATTGTAGCCATTTTTGTGTGTAAGGGCTGAGCAGGAGTTCTCTGAGCAAAAATAACACACATACTATAGTGCCTGCTACTTAAAATTGCTCCATAATGAGGTAAGGTACTGTCTCTGTCTGTCTGTCTGTAGAATTATATGTATTCATCTTGTCAACTTTTAATTATACATGTAAAGAGGGCAGCAGTTAAGTGGATATGCCAGAATAAAGGATAATCCAAATGTCATTTATGTTGGATTTAGGAATGGATGTTTGCACTTGTGTATGTTTTTATGTGTATGTTCTGCAGGTTTAAACTTCTAATGATATTTGCCTTAGAATAACTTAAAAATTAATTTGTGTTAACTTCTTATATATTAAATAATAGTAGGTAGAGGCAAGCTGGAGGTGAACTAGTAGCAGAGGAAACTCACTCTGAGATTAAAAAATCTGTCTCAGGTTGCAACCCACCAAGTAGGTATATCCTGCATGGATATGTGACCTGGATGTGATAATATATGTAGATATTGACTTACATATTGTACTCTACCTCATATATTTGCTTCCTTACCTCCCAATTTTGGAGTTTATAATCAGCTGCAGTAAGAGTCCCTCAGAAGACACAGGGACAGTTTAAGAAGTTTGAATAATTCATTTTGCTCATAATCCTCATTCATTCCTTTAAAACAATGTTTATTGAATGTTTCATATGCATAGCTCTGTGCTACTTACTAGTGAGGTTATAAAAGCATGGAGAGGATCCTTAAACTTAAGGAACTTAATTATCTAGCAGAGGAGACAAAGCAAGTTAAGTAATAACATAAGGCTTGGTTCCAAGGAAGAGAGCTGAGAAGGACATTGCCCCCCCTTTCCCCCAAAACAAAACAAAACAACTCTGTTTTCAAAAGTGGGTGTCCACAGATGTGGAACATTGTCTATAGTGCCAGATTTTTTTTTAATGTTGATTAGTTTTACTAATTTTTTTCTCTTCTTAAAAAAATTCTTGATTATAAAGGATGGCTCTCTGGGTTGTAGGGAAGAGAAGAATGAATAAAGAGGGAAATATAGGTGATGTCAAAACAGGGTATCAGTAAAAACCTATTTTTAAAAAATAGTAACATAATGTTTTAGTTCGGACCTTTTCATCAGAGTGAGGAATTCTTAGTGTATAAAATCCTTCTGCTAATACATATATCAGCAACACCTTTGTAACTTACAGACTTAGGGAATTTTCTGGGGGACACTGACAAGTTAAGTGACTTGCCCTTGGTCACTCAACTCTGTGTCTGTGGTGGGACTTGAACCTAGGAGTTCTTGAATCCAAGGTTACCCTCTGTCCACTACCCTGTGCTGCCTCTTAGTAATATAAGGTAGTGTGTAATTAAGTACCAAATAAAGGATTTAGAAAAGCAAATAGGATTGTAAAGTGATAAGATGGTTGGACATTGGAGGAGGTGGAAGTTGAGCTGGGCCTTGGAGAATACATAGGATATAGGCATGTAGAATTAAGGAGTAATGTAATTTTATTTTATTTTTTTACTGTGAGCTTTTTTTTTTATTAATTAGCTTACTTTTAGTTTTCAACATTCACTTCCATAAGCTTTTGAGTTTTAAATTTTTCTCCCCTTCGCTCCCTGCCTCCTTCCCCAAGACAGTGTGCAATCTGATATAGGCTGTACATATACATTCCTATTAAACATATTTTTACATTACTCATGTTATAAGGAAGAATTAGAACTAATAGGAGGAACCACCAGAAGGAGGAAACAAAACACAACAGAAGAGGGAAAAAAAAAAGAGCAAATAGTATGCTGCGATCTGCATTCAAACTCCATAGTTATTTCTCTGCATGTGTATAGCATTTGCCACCATGAGACTTTTTGAGATGTATTAGATCCTTATGGCTATTACTGTGTACAATGTTTCCTGGTTCTGCTCAGTTCACTCAGCATCGTAAGTCTTTCTAGGTTTTTTTGAAGTCTACTTGCTCATCATTTCTTATAGTACAATAGTATTCTATTGCATTCATATGCCATAACTTCTTCAGCCATTCCCCAATTGATGGGCATCTCCTCAATTTCCAATTCTTTGCCACCCCAAAAAGAGCTGCTATAAATATTTTTGTACATGTGGGTCCTTTTCCTGTTTTTATGATCTCTTTGGAATATAGCCCTAGAAGTGCTATTGCTAGGTCAAAGGGTGTGCACATTTTTATAGCCCTTCAGGCATAGTTCCAAGTTGCTCTCCAGAATGGTTGGATCATTTCACAACTCCACCAACAATGCATTAGTGTTCCAGTTTTCCCACATCTTCTCCAACATTTATCATTTTCCTGTTTTGTCATGTTGGCCAATCTGATAGGTGTGATGTGCTAACTCAGAGTTGTTTTGATTTGCATTTCTCTAATCACTAGTGATTTAGAGCATTTTTCATATGACTATGGATAGCTTTAATTTCTTCCTCTGAAAACTGCCTGTTCCTATCCTTTGACCAGTTATCGATTCGGAAATGACTTGTATTCTTATAAATTTGACTTAGTTCCCTATATATTTGAGAAATGAGGCCGTTATCAGAGACACTGGTTGTAAAAATTCTTTCCCAGGTTTCTGCTTCCCTCTTAATCTTGGTTGCGTTGTCTTTGTGCAAAAACTTTTCAATTTAGTGTAATCAAAATTATCCATTTTGCATTTTATAACATTCTCTATGTCTTGTTTGGTCATAAATTCTTCTGTTCTCCATAAATCTGACAGGTAAACTATTCCTTGCTCTTACAGGTTGCTTATAGTATCAGCCTTTATGTCTAAATCATGAACCCATTTCGACTTTATTTGGTTATATGGTATAAGATTTTGGTCTATGCCTAGTTTTTGCCATGCTCTTTTCTAGTTTTCCCAGCAATTTTTGTCAAATAGTGAGTTCTTATCCCAGAAGCTGGGGTCTTTGAGTTTATCAAATAGTAGATTACTATAGTATTGACTACTGTCTTGCATACCTAACCTATTCCACTGATCCACCACTGTATTTCTTAGCCAGTACCAAGTAGTTTTGATGAATGTTGCTTTATAATACAATTTAAGATCTGGAATGGCTAGGCCACTTTCCCTAGCATTTCTTTTCATTAGTTCCCTTGATATTCTGGAGGTTTTGTTCTTCCAAATGAATCTTGTTATTATTTTTTCTAGCTCTATAAAATATTTTTTTTGGTAGTTTGATTGGTATGGCACTGAATAAGTAAATTAGCTTAGGTAGAATTGTCATTTTTATTATGTTAGCTTAGCTTACCCATGAGCAACTGATGTTTTTCCAATTATTTAGATCTGACTTCATTTGTGTGAAAAGTGTTTTGTAATTGTGTTCATATGGTTCCTGGGTAGCAATGTTATTTTAAGCAGAGGGAGAAGTGTGAGGAAAACCATGGTGAGAAAAGAATAAAGTCCACAGGAGGGGGACCATCCTGATTGGAACAGACAACTTAGTCTGGAAATAGTAATATGAAGTTGGAAAGATAGGTTAGGACAGATTTTGGAGGACCTTGAATGCTTGGTCAAAAAACTTAGATTTGAACCTGTAATCAGTGGGGAATTATTAAAAGTCTTTGAGTAAAGAGTTGACTTGCTGTAAACAGTGTTTAGGAAGATTGGTTGGTGTCACTATATGGAACTGAATGGAGATATTTAAGACAGGAATCAGGGAGACCACTTAAGATTCTGCTGAAGTAATTCGTGTATGAGGTGACAAGGGCAGAATGAGGGTGGTGACAATTGTAGAAAAAGGAAAGGAAAAATTCAGGTGCTATTATTAAGAAGTTGGTGACTAAGGAGATATGAGGTACACAGGAAAGACAGAGTCAAAGATAACTTTGTCACTTCATGCCTTGTAACTGGGAGAATGACAGTAACCTTAATTATTGTATGGAAACCAGAAATAGGAACTAGTTTTTTTGGAGAAGGTGATAAGGTTGGTTTTGGACTGCTTTGAGTTTGGGCTGCTGGATGTACATCCAGATGTAAATGTCTAATGGAGAATTGGGGATATTGCTAGGGTGGAAAATAGGGCTTTGAAGTCAACCGCATTTAGGTAATAGTTGAATTCATTAGAGATTCGCCATGGAATTATCTCTCTACCCTTGCAGCTCCCTTCTCCAATTGCTGAATTCCTCATGGAACCTTCGCTTTGAGGAAGGACTGAGGCCAGCTACTCTTCATTGCATTCTGCTTCTGATTGACTAGACTTCACCACCATTCACCAGCATGAGTACCTTCTCCCTCTTTTGTGTCCTTTTCTCTTATTAGAATGTAAGTCCCTTGAGGGCAGTTTTCCTTTTTGCTTTTCTTTTTTTTGTATCCCCAGTGCTTACCACAGTACCCAGCACATTGTAAGTCTTTAATAAATCCTTGGTTACTTAACTATAGTGCTCCAAAGGAGAGAATATATGACAGGAAGGTCAAGGCCTAAGGAACCCCTACAATTAAAGGGTAAGATAATTAAAAGGAGCTAGTAAAGAAGACAAAACTATTCATTAGAAAGGTAGAAAAATGAGGATAGTAGCATTACTGTAGCTGAGGAAGGAGTTTTGAGAAGGACAGATGGTCAGTGCTGCAGAGAAGTGAGAATAGGGATCAAAGAAACACAAGTAAACCTAGGGTTAATGTGGCTATTGGTAATTTTTGAGAATACAGCTTCATTAGAATGGTGAA